CATCTAAAATCAGGACTAAAATGTAAGCGAATTTGCAAGTTTTTGATTTATTATGTTCCGCGCTCAGGCTGACGTAAGTAACCGGAAGTGAAATTTTACTTCCTTGGCAACGCGCGCGAACGCGCGCATGAATGGGTTAATGGGCCCTTAAACTCCTGGTTGAAAATTAACACTGTGTTTAAAGTAACGCCAGGAGCGTGGGTAGAAGCCATAAACGCTTTTATTTGGTGGCAAATACAATTTATCTATTGGGACATTGTAGCCACTCTTTAACAGTTGATGTTATAATGCTTTCAGGCGAATACCCAATCTTCTCAGAAATCTTTGTGTTGATCAAAATGGATAATCCAATGTTTTTCTCCGACGATGTCAATTAATGCTTTGAATAAACGCCTTATTAAAGCGGTTTTCAATTGAGTGTCGTAAAACCAAGACCAAACCAATTACTTACCAGTTAGACTACTCAGCCAATCTAAAACCGAAGTAAAACCAAAACCAAAACCAAAGTAATTGTCTAATTACTTTCGACACTCAAATGAAAACCGCTCTATAACGACAAGAACTTGTACTCACCGTCATTTTTCCTTCAAACTAGCACAGACTTCTTGATCGTCGATTTAAGCAGTAACCGGAATTTAACACTTTGCTCGTGTACGTTTCTCTTTTCAGAACTAAAAGTAAATTGATCAAGATGAAGCCACGCCCTGCCTATGAAACTGACAGCGGAAAAGGTTTTCCGGATGTCGATAACACAGCGCTGACTATAAGTGGTCAGTTGGAGGATGTCATGGAGAGAATTAAACTTAATCCTGTCAAGGAAATAAACCATGAACAAAAAGGTATGATAATATACACAAACTTCAGTTTCAACACCTAGCCAGGCATCACAATGAACCAATCAAAACCCGCTGTGATAGCTTGCGACCAGCGCCAAGCGCGGGAAAAAAAAACGAACTAGTTTTGTCTTGCACCTGAATGGCTGAACGATATATTTCTTCTGATCTGATTGGTTAACTAGGTTGCATGAGCATTTTGAACCAATAACAGATCAGCGCTTAACAAAGACAAAGGCAAAATCAGGGCAAAAAGAGTTTGAATTTGAAAGGTGAAAGCCAAACTTAAATTTCTCTGTCAGTATCATAGCTATCATTATATGGCAAATCGGAGGGTTTTAGAATACAACTGGCAAGATAGCTATAGATTACTTTCATTCAGTTGAGAGTAGGCCGTACGTTAGCCAGAAAACCAGCCGAGACTGATCAATTTGGTACTTAATATACGACGAGTCCTTGTAACCGTCTAGTAAGAAGCGCAAAAAAGAAAAAATTAGCGTAAAATTCCAGCGCGAAAATGAGCTCCACACCTCTAGATTTTGAGTGGCCATTTTTCGGGATGGCTTCAAAACCTGGTAGCTCTTTTGTAACTGTGTCCTAATTTTTTAAAGGACCTCTTGATCATGACACCAATGAACACAAAATCTGTCCAGTGACTCAGACCTCTAAAGGGAGATGTCCATTTAGTGGTGCGACTGGAACGTTTGAGTTAAGGCCTCAAGAACCAAAGTATTTGAGGCTGAAGAACTGGGTGGAAGATAAACAAGCTGTGGATACTCTGCATCAAAAGGCAACAAACGTATGTGAATTTCCTATGAAAGCCTGTGACTTAATACACTGTAAATAGTAGCTTGGGGATCTTCGGAAATCATCGGGTCGTTTTCGGAAATGGTCGAAAGGCTTCGGGTCAACTTTGGAATCGCCGAATGCTCCCGAGGAATCTTCGAGAATCTTCAGAGTAATTACTTCAGATCACAACAAAAAACAGATTGCTGAGATCAAAAAGTTTTAAAGCAGTTTATAAAGTAGATCCTTGTAGAAAGTAGATCACCATGCACTCTTTCTGACTATACTATTATTTCACGGGAGGTCTGGAGATGCCAGGCAGTTAATTCGGTTTATTCATCACTGTGCTTTTGATAACAGTTTCAACTGGGTTTGCAAATGGCTAGTTTTAAAAGCAATGGGCAGTCTTGAAATCCTGCTAAAATATGAGAGGCTGGCGTCTAAAGATATTATCATGAATTACTTGTATGTATCAGTTCGGAAATTATCTTACAAAAGCGCAGCGTTGAAAGACTCTTAAAGTTGACAGCAGCGAAGACTAAACTTCATAGCTATCGTATCAAATGTTGTCCTCATGTTTCAACTTCTCGGTTCTCATTTCGACTTTTTTTCTCAGCCTCTCCACTGCACCAATGGCCGGTGCACAGGTTCAGTAATGTTCCCGTATGGAGGAGAAATCCCTTCACCGAGGCCTGCTGGGACACCAAGACCGAAAGATGAGGTGAAGGTTCATGCCCAGGACTTTCTTCAGCAATACTACACATCCATCAATCTGTGAGTACCGAATATGCCACGTTCGATGTGCCAATATTCTAAAATGACTCCGAGGTTTCCAGGACAAGATCGCAAACTTTTGAAGTTTCTTTTGTCCCTAAAGACAACACCACCAAATACAGAGGTTTGTCCTGAAAGCCTGGGAGCCATGTTAGAATATTGATTTATGGAACGTGGCCAATTGATGACTTGCTTTTCTTTGACGACAGCCATCGCTAGAATCCTACAACTGTTTCTTTCAAGCAACAAAACAGGTCAGTAAACTTTAAGACGCCGTTCTCAACGCTTTTTGTCGCTTCTCTCTTCTCTCCTTCACGTCTGCAGTTGTGATGGTGACGAACACCAAAAGAGGCTGACCGAGGTTAACAAGACTGTCGAAGAGACTGGGACCTATGACTTGACAGAACCGGAACTGATTTTTGCCGCCAAAACTGCGTGGAGAAATGCCTCACGGTGCATTGGGAGAATTCAGTGGAACAATTTACAGGTATTATGTTAAACTATGTTATAAAAACACTCCATTACAAATCTACACTAGTAATTTAGTTCAGTGTCTATGAAGTGGATTTAGAAAAAGTTTGAACGACTAAAAGATTTATACTAAACCAATTAGATTATTCGCTATCGATTTCTATGCGTGATAGCTGACCCGGGCTGCGCGATAGAAATCTCGAGCTCATAAGCTAATTGTTAATTATAGCGAACAACTTTTACGAAAACGTGCACTAAAAGCCACATTTCTGAAACTCGATTTAAACACAGAATAGCACAATCTGTTGACGAAATGATGGCACAAGCAAATAATAAATGAAAGATTTTCCTTTCATTTTCTCGCAGTGTTTCCTAAGAGATATAGAACACATTTTATCCGAGTTGCTACAGAGTTATAGGCACTCGTGAAAGTTTTGGAAAGCTCGAAAAAGCTGTGGAAGCACTTGCCCGCGGCCTGTGTTCCCATAGCATTACTCGTTCTCCTAAACTTCGACTTGTGTTTCTGTAAGTCGATAGAAATTCGGAAAATTATTTCTATTGCTTAAATATTGTATGTTCCTCGCGAGAAAAAACGGCTTGGTCAACGGATACAAAAGGAATACAGGCTGAAAAATCAATCGATTTGTATGACGATTTTTCGATTCTTAATTTATCCTGTTTCCTTTCCTGATTTTTCCACCATTAAAATTTCTTGATTTAAAGGAGCTATGTCACGTTTTGCGCATCTTAAAAAATGCGTAGCGTAAATATTTCAAGTTTGTCATTGGTAATCCGTGTCAATCTTCTCCATCCTCAGCCATCCTTGTTCCTTTGTGGCTTATTATCAGCTCTTTCGTGTTTTTCTATCTTGGCAAAATACTATTTTGAAGTTTCCTCCAATTTAAAGGTAATTTTGTACGTGGCCAAAATAACTCAAAATACTGTGATTGAGCTCCTTTTAAGTAGCTCTAATCGTATTGTAAACAACCGGGAACCAACCAACTGGTACCATCAGAGACGCTTACTAAACTTCTCCTTCTCTGTTGTGTCCCCAATTAGTTGTGAAAACTAAATACATTGACACATTAATAAAGCTTTTACTTACTTTACTTACTTACTTACTTACTTACCAGGTATTCGACGCTCGTAACGTGAAGACCCCGAGAGAAATGTTCGAAATCCTCAAGAAACACTTGGAATACGCGACTAATGGCGGAAACTTGAGATCTGTCATTACCGTCTTCCCACAAAGGAAAGAACCAAGAAAGGACTTCCGGGTATGGAACTCTCAACTGATCAGGTATGCCGGGTACGCACAGCCTGATGGGACGGTGATTGGCGATCCAGCGAGTGTGGAGTTTACCGAGGTAAATACATTTTTCTTTTAACTAGTAGATTTTAGAGATTATGGCTGAGCAACTACAAAAATGAAAGTTTAAACGCTTATGAAAAAGGAACGATTAAAACAATTTGAGTTAGTTGCTCTGATCATGTAACACAGGCCATCCTCTTCCGCTTTCTTGCGGTAACCCCTGTCTTACGCAATGTTCAACTTGGAAGTCAACGCCAACACATGGAGAGAGGAGAAGATAGTGAATATTGGGGAAAATGCCAGCACAATTTAATCCAATTTATTTACACTTATACTTAATTAACAAAAATGTAAAATCAGAAAAAGACAAAGAAATGCAAAATTATATTAGAAGAGAAAAGTGTGTAGTAGCCAAAGGGGCAGAAGCTATCGGGTTGGCCACCAAGGTGGAATTATTGAGGCTTAGATAGTAGAATATGTTAACTTAGAAAGAGTATAAATAAGTGTAATATAACAGAAACACTTGCAATACGTACGTCTCCGTTCTTTCTCTTCCTGTTATATTTACCGGGCAGTAGCAGAGCTCCGCCTTTTAGAATTACTTTAGTCCCTCCCTTTTTCAATCCTTCTTTCTCGTCCCCTCATCTCTTGCTCCTCTGACCATCAGCTGCCCCCTCGTTTGGGCCATTCATGCTCCACCATTTCACGGATTTAGCGGTCTCCAAGTGACTCTTTATTGTGTCCTGTTATTCAGATTTGTCAGTCAATGGGTTGGAAAGGCAAAGGCGGTAGATTTGACGTTTTGCCCCTGGTGTTACAAGCCAATGGTGGACCCCCCGAGTACTTTGACATTCCCGAGAACCTTGCCCTTCAAGTGAACATCAAGCACCCAAAGTGAGTGACGCCAGTAACATACTTCTCAGCAGTCTCATACTGTTTTTATTTTGTGGTATTATCGTCTCGTATGCAATACACGAAAGACCGTGTTTGAGCACACTTCCAAACACCGAGAAGAGAGTTGAAAATACGACGCGCAGCGGAGTATTTTTGACGAACTTCGAGGTGTTTGCAACTGTGGTCAAACACTATCTTGAGTGTTTGGTGAATCTTTTCAATAGAAAATAAAACTACGGAGAAAACGGAGAACTAAAATCGTAAAAATATGTGCTAATTAAGATCAGATATCCAAACACCGTCACGGTCATATTTTCTTTGTTTAAACTTGATGAATTATTACTGAATTTGAGAAGCACGTTTTAAAGGTATCTGCGTGTTATTTTTCACAAGGTATCCTTGGTTTGAGAAACTGGGTTTAAAATGGTACGCCTTGCCAGCGGTTGCCAACATGATGCTAGACGCTGGAGGACTGGAATTTACCGGAGCTCCATTCAATGGATGGTTAGTTTAATAATGATTTCGCGTTTCGCTTTTTATTCCTCGGATGGTAGAGTCTTCCCTTCCCTCCCCTGAAATAATGTTTGCCCAATGGTTTTACGACACTTAATTGAAAACCGCTCTAAGAGTCCACTAAATGCTTTAATTTAAAAAAAAAAAAAACTCTTGCACGCCTCTGCGTGCCTATGTTTATATGTTTGCTCTCCACCTGTAGTGGGACATTAGAAGTTTAGCTAACAAAATAACCGGTAATACTCTTACATGATATACTTGTAGGTCACCGCCATTTTATAAGAGATTCCGAGCGCGCTTGTACGACGGAATGGTTTTATCAGAGTTTCATTTAATCCGTTATTACCTTTAATGACAACAAATGATGTTCATCTTCGTAATTATTGAAAGCCGAAGCAAATGAATCTACCTGACGCGAAGAGCGGGAAAAAATGATATGAGCGAGAGACGATTGGTTTTGGTTTTACTTCTGATTGGATGACAAAGTGGCGCGAGTTTTGAAAGGCAATCGCTGATCGTGGTAATGCAAAACAAAATCAAGTGTGTATTACTTTTGATATTCACGTGAAACGCTCTATGAGTTCGTTGTGAATAAAGACAGGTGACGAGAAATAAAAGAAATTACTCATATGCTGAAGATGATCTAGTCTTAATGCACCATTAAATTTTCCGTCCGTTAACATTAAAAGAGATGGATGTTTTAAACATTCTATAGTTTGGAACTGAAAGTGTTTAAAGAATGGTTCGTGAATCTTGAAAAGCTTAATCTAAATTTTGCAAGTTCCTCGTTTGTAATCCGTGTTAATCTTCGCCATCCTTAACCTTGCTCGTTCCGTTTTGGTTTATTATTACCCCCTTGTTGTTTTTCTGATTTAGCACAATATTATTTTTAGGATTTTTCAATTAAAAGGTGATTTTTTTAATCGCGAAAAATGATTCAGAACTCGTAACAGTGTTTCTTTAACACCACGTTTCAGGTACATGGTGACCGAGATTGGAGCACGTGATTTAGGAGACCAACAGCGCTACAATATGTTGGAGGTGAGTGGAACTGGATGTTCGATCACTGGCACGTTTCACTTCGGCTGATGCACAAAATCCAGCTGATCAGGATGCAGCCATGAAGAGATAGTTCCTATCGCATTTTTCAAACTATGAACATGGTCTTTTTTAGGTGGTTGCCAAGAAGATGGGCCTAGACACCAAGAGTAATGCATCCTTGTGGAAGGACTTTGCAATGGTTGAAATCAACTACGCTGTCCTTTACAGTTATCAGGTAAAAACAATTCTTAAAGGAGCTCAGTCACAGCGTTTTGAGTTAATTTCGGCCATGTACAAAATTACCTTTCAGTTGAAGAAAAACCTGAAAATAGTAGCTTACTAAGATAGAAAAACACCAAAGAGATAACAATTAACCATGAAGGAACAAGGATGGTTAAGGCGCACAAATCGCGACGTAGCTCTTTTAAGTAACCTGCTCACTTGTGGAACCACGAACGGAGTTTTTTCTCTAGCCATATTGAACAAGTGATCGTTAAAAAGGGTGTGCCAGTGAAATCCTCCTCTCATCAACCTATTTTATTTTATTTATATCTGTAACGACTGATTTTCATACAACCTCTGGTGGTCACCCAGAGGGGTCACGTGCTTGCGGTCATAAGCTCACAAAATACCTACAACGTCCTCTCCTCTTTATGGCGTAGAGACCGGAGTTAAGCCCCGGCTAGAACGAACCATCTTGCTTCCTCTCATTCTTTAGATTTGAACAGACTTGAAACTATCCTTAACCTTCCATAGAATAAAAACATCGTTTGATATGCCTCGTGGTAGCTGTCTTTTATTGGGCACATGTCAGACTCTTAGTCGCTCCGCGTGTTACCCATCGCATTTCGTTTTTTGTTTTAGGAAGCCGGTGTTACTCTCGCTGACCATCATTCCACTGCAGAGTCATTCATAAAACACATGGAAAAAGAGGTTAGTGTATTTTCCCTTTTCTTACTATACGTTGGTGAAACAGACAAGTGTGGCTTAACTGCAAACAAGCAGTTAAGTTCTCGCTAGATAATACAACACATGTTACTCCATCTTATAATAGTACGCAGCGCCACTAAAGGACACATGCCAGATCGGAAGTTTTATAACCAGCGCTAAAAATATTCTCCCAGGACCGAAATAGAGGAAGCATTCTAGAATTGTTGATGGTGACGTACGTATCTAGCTCATTCTAATTTTTTTCTTTCTCAGATCAAGGTCCGGGGTGGCTGCCCAGCAGACTGGGTTTGGATCGTTCCTCCAATGTCTGGAAGTGCTACACCTGTCTTTCACCAGGTACGTTTGAAAGCTTCTCCTTACCTTACTCCTGTCAGGTCCCGGAGGAATTTGAAAACGGAGGTTTCACTCTGAAAATGCATCAATGACGCCGGGGGAATTTGAAAACGCATCAGGGAAATCACATGATTTTCGTGACGCCATTGTTTTCGAAAAGCTCCGTTTTCAAAATGTCTTCCGTCCATACGAAAACTAAACGCCGACGTTTTAAAATTTCTCCGCTTTGAAGAGCGTTTTCGGAAAGCTCCGATTTCGCAACGGATTAGTGTGGACTGTAGGCCTAACCTTAGAAAATAAGCTGGGTTTTCNGGGGGGGGACCTTTCTGAGAGTCATACAAATGTTTTAATGTCAGTTCTGAGAATTTGGTGGTACATCAAGACAATATTACTTAGTTGATAATTTTCTTAATTCTCGTCACCTGTTTGCCTGATAATGTATTGGTATTATGATGAGAACTTAGATTTTGGTTACTCCTGGAATTATTAAAGGATTATAATGAAATTTGTGTTAGTTCTGAAAATTTGTTGTTACATCAAGACGTTAACCCTGGTAATAACTTTCTTTATTCACATCACACGGCTTATTAGACTCCTCCTGTTTAAATGCATCAGTGGAAAATCTAGGTGAAAGCCCGGGAGCCGCCACTTCTTCTCCCTTGTCAAAAATTCCCCCCTCCCTCACTTTATCGGAGAAAGATAGGGTCTGCCTTATTTAAGTATTTCCCAGGCCTCTTTTAAGAGCAAGCAACGGCCCAACTTTTACTTCATCGTCTTCTTTTGAGTCATGTTGGTCTGTTACCAGTAACCCGGGAGTTTCTGCTGTTACTCAGTACGTTTATATTGTAATTTTTTAGCTGTTGCAGATCACTCTTTTGACCAAGATTTCCCAGTATCTTAAAACCAGAAAACTAGTTTTATGTATATAAAACTCGCTTATACCTTAATCTCAAGTGAATTTTGAGTTCAAAACATCGAAGTGTTAAAAGACTTCTGTTTTCAACTGTAGGAAATGCTGAACTACTTTTTGAAACCGAGCTACGAATACCAGGTAACATATATGATACTTCCATGTTTGTAAGCTGGCACGTGAAGCCAACCACTGATCATGATATTTTCTCCTCTTTAAAACTAAATAGACTGATCCGTGGCGGTTTTACAGTTCCTCAGGAGAACCCAAAAAGAAAATAGCTTTCAAAACTGTGGCCAAGTAAGTTTGCTGTACTGATTTGGTGCTTTGCGTTTTGTTAACATACGAAGATAGCTGAAGATCGCGCGCGTTTTTTGACAAATCATCCTGATACTGAAAAGAACCCCATCAAATGCCCAAGCAGAAAATTGACGTCAGATTACCTAGCAACCTCTGTAGTAAAAGAGTTCGGCGCAGGAAACTTTCACCGATAGAGTTGGGACTAGAAATGAAACTTGATTTCTCGAGTGCTGTTATCAATTCAATCAAAGCTTGCTCCAGCCTTTCGAGATGTTTGCAAAACGAGCGGAAGTTAACGAGGGTGAAGAGAAAAAAAATGAGAAAGACGCCTCTTGTTTCTCCTTCCTCTCGTCTTTTTTCTTCCCTCGTCTCTGTTCTGACCAAACGCTCTAACACTCAAAAAGTCGACTTCACAAACGTGCTTTGGTAGTTAATTTCAAGTTGGTAAATAGGTACGTGTTTCACTTAACTCCCTGACGCAGCACAGCAGCTTTTTAAAAACTAATATCTTCTTTCTTTCCTCCTTCCTCTTTTTGTAATTGCTCGTTATATCGACATCTTCAGAGCTCAGTATAGGCTAATTCTTTTACCTTTGATTTAGAAACGGACTAGTTAATCATTTACTGATGGTTTTGTTCTTTCCTCTATATAGGGCTGTTCGTTTCGCAGCTTTCCTTATGAGAAAGATTCTGTCTCAGCGAAAGAAGGCCACTATCTTATTCGCTACAGAAACTGGCAGATCGGAAGGATTCGCTCGGAATTTGGCCAAGCTCATGTCACACGCCTTCGACGTTAAGGTTTGTCGCAATCGATTGTCACGATCATTAATAAAGAGAATCCTCTTCCTCAATGCTGACATGTTTTAACGGGATCTTTCACGCAGAAGCACTCCAATGAGCGACTGGGAATAGCGGGGGTCCTCTTAACCGTTGTGCTGCGCGCATTACAAGACACTTGCGCAACGCTACGATTGTCACGAAACTCAATCAATCAACTTTTGAGGAGGCAGTGTGACAGAGTGGTTTGGACGCCGGACTTGAAATGAAATCCGGCGGTCGCGGGCCAGTTAAGTCCTGATCTGACCACTTAGCTGGATTTGTTTCTTGTAGACCCCAGTTCAACACCTCGGTCATGCTTGCAAAGAGCCAATTGGTCCGCCTCAAGCCAGCTGGGATTTTTAATCCTGTTATGTTTAGTTGATATATTTGTTTCTTTCAGTTTAAGTGGCATGCCTGTGAACTAGCTAGGTGTAGCTAAGCGTGTTGACCACTACAAATAAAACATCTGAACCTTTTTTAACTTTTCAACTCAACTGTTTCAAGCTAACAAATGCTTTGCTTTTTGTTGTCTGTCAGGTTTTGTGCATGAATGAATACGAGCATGCGCAGCTCACTCAGGAGACCTTGTTGTTTGTAGTTACCAGTACCTTTGGCAACGGTGAATCCCCAGAGAATGGGGCGAGCTTCTCAAGCTACTTACAGAGAATGAAAGAGAGCACTGGCACAAGCCCATTGAAAAACGTCAGGTAACCGCGGCTGAAACCCGCAAAACCCAGTGAGACTCGTCAATGAAAATATGTGATGTAACATGATAAAGAACCAATCAATATTACGTGATGTAACAAGGAATAAGAGAGTTTATGTGGTACGTGGCAATTGTAGCCAATCAGGGATTGTTATTTGAGCTCACCAAGCGTGACTTATTAGATATTTGAATGCCAATTTTTTTTTTTCCGGCAGATATTCCGTGTTTGCACTTGGTTCCAGTAACTACCCCAATTTTTGTGCTTTTGGGCATTACGTAGATGACCACCTGAAGGATCTTGGAGGAAAGTCAATTCTGACCATTGGAGAGGGGGACGAGTTAAATGGTCAAGACGAATCGTTCAGCGAATGGGCTAAAAATGTTTTTAAGGTAATAAAAAGTGACCTTTTTTTAATTGAAACCTTGCATGCTATCAGAACTAGGTTGTTAAAAGGTCTACGAAAGCGTATGCGTGATTCTTTGAATTGTTTCGAAATATGCCTGAATGCAAATGGTTGTAGCTTCAAAAATCGTAATTTCTACCTCATTGCACGATCTTAAACCGTCGATAAAAGTCTCCAGACAGTTGCAAAGAGATAAGAGATCACCTACTTGGAGAACCGAGCAGCCCTGGGTAGAGAACTCGGTATACTTGTCAATGCCTCTCTTCAGTTAATTTTCCGAGAATTTACCAAAACTCCTTCAAGATATTTGTTTCCCCAGGTTCGTCATGAGCTAATGAAAAAGTAAGCTTATTAGATGTTACAAGTGAATATATGAAAGACCATACATTTATGTTGTTGGATTTCAGGCGGCCTGTGATTCATTTGGCGTGAATGATGAAGTTGCGAGCAAAGTTGTCAGTGCATCACTGAAGAACATGTCAACCAGCTGGAGCCCAGGCCTCTACCGCTGGGTAGAAGAACGAAGAAAACCGAGCGACTTGTGTTCTTGTGAGTTCAAAGACTTACTTTAAAAAGATCATTGCTTATTTATCACTCTTCTAAATTAAACGTTTTTTGTGTGTGTTTCTTGCAGATCTCTCCAAGACTTACAACAAGACCGTTAACCCCGCAAAAGTCATTTCAGTGACTGAACTTCAAGCCAAAGATTCGAGGTATATATAGTTTGAGAAATATGAACATGTGGTTTTTGCTTCGTTAAATCCTTTCTCATTAAGCTTTTCGTTGACAACTATAAGATGTTACGAAAGTTTGCGGTAACTGCAAACGAACTTTGTAAATACAAACCAAAGGTACCGGATCCTAGTGAAACTGATGATCAAACACTCACAGAGAAAGGCTGACCGTACAGTTGAGACTAAAGGCTATATTTCACGGCCTGACTTCTTCAGGGAACTATAAACGTAACCAAACTGTACTCTTTGTTTTCTTGCGTGAAGTTATTTGGCTAGGGGGAAGAGGGTAAGTGGCTGTGGAGGGTGGCTTGATACTCAAGATCTTGTGGTCCGCGTGTAAGTCCTGGCCAGGCTTACTGTGTTGTGTCCTTTGAGAAGTCACTTTACACTCACAGTTTCCTTCTCTATCTTGGAGAATAAATGGGTACAGATGAATTGTCAGGGTATTCTGACAAAATGCTGGAGGGGGGGAGGGGAGGGGGAGTAACCTCTGTGATGGACTGGCGTCTCATCCAGAGGAAGTGACAATATTCCTAGCTGCTTTCTGCTATAGAAACAAAAGTCAGTGAGCCAGCTTGCTCCTCCCCTCTTTAGACCTGGATTATCTAAAGTGTGTGTTTATCTTTACCCTTAATCTCTTATCTTTTGCACTTTTTCCAGTCGCTCGACTATCTTGGTTAGCCTGGATACTGACAACAGAAATGAGTTGACTTTCGAGCCAGGAGATCACCTGGCTGTATTTCCCGCCAACAAAGCCAGTCTAGTGCAGGATTTGATTGACATGATGCACGAGAAACCTGATCCAAACCGGCCAATCAGGATTGAAGTCGCTCGAGAAGATCCAGGTAAAGCCACAAACTCAGAGTCATCAAAACATAATTCATCCATACTAATTGCCGAGTAACATGCGATCAGGCGTTGTTTTCTTTTTGACTACAATGTACATGTAATAGCAGTTTCGTGATTTATTCTTTTAGCCAAACCCGGTGGACCAAAAGAGTGGCAAGCTTTTAACCGGCTTTCCGTGGCGTGTACCTTAAGAGAAGCTTTGACCAGATACCTTGACATCACAAGTATTCCGACACCTCAAATGCTTCGCTACCTGTCAAAATTGGTACGTATATCGGGCCTATTAAATTAGACTGTGTTGTTCTGTCACGGACGATTCGTATCTGCTTGTGTATATTGGACATGTGTGTCTGTACGTTAAGGGTTTTGGATTTATTCCGACACAAGTGATGCTCCACTCCTTGTCAAAAATTGGTACGTTAAGTTTACTGTGAAAACTTTTATAAAAACCAATTACGTTACCTGTCCTTATGAGGTTCAACCTTGAATTTTCTCTCTGTACTTTTTAAACATGTTTCACTGAGTTATGCTCAAACTGTTGTCATCTCGCCGAGTATTTTCTTCTCTTATTATAAAACTATTTGATTCTTGTATTTTTTTTTGGGGGGGGGGGGGGTTGGGGCCTTTTCAGAATTTCCCTACAAAGATCACAAGGTACAAGGGAAGGGGCAAAAATAGAATTTTAAGTGTTA